GGAACTACTCCAATCTACATTCAGTGGCCTCATCCCTTCTAAAAAGTACTGGATTTTGCCTGCTCACTTTTTGTTCCTAAAACTTTTAGTTATTAAAACAAATAAAATAGAATAAACATATCTAAATAAATATGGCATTGAACAACTCCATTTTTTAATTTTTTTTCCTGTACTAGTCAATAGGATAAAAAGTTTCAAGTCCTCAAACTCATTTTCTACAAGGTATTTTTTAGTGTGTTACATAACGTTTTACAAAGCTTGGAAGGAGTGTGTTTGTACTTGGCAGTGTCAGTGATAAGACCTTACGGAGAAGCCAGTTCATTTGGCTTTATATATAAGTGGAAAAACAGAGAAATGTAATAAAAAGAGAATTTTGTGTTTTTAAATTTCCATTTCTAATTTTCTGTGTGGGTGCTGGGGATCAAACTTGAGTCCTCTCAAATAGAGGCCAGTGCTCTTAAACTCTGACTCATCTTTTCAACCTTGTTTACTCTCCGTTAAAAAAAATGAAAAGATCCCCCAACTGGGGAAAAAGAAATAGGCAGGAGACTAGAGTTACCTGCTAAGCTAAGGCTAATGCAGGGAGTCTGTTGGGGCCCTGTTTCCTTTTATTGGGTTTCTGAGGAAAACTGTGGTCCAGAATCCTAGATAATCTCCTTAGTCATAAGCAAGTAGAACTGGAATTGAGAGACCACCTTTGTCCATGGCTGTGCTGTGCGCCCTGTTTTCATGGGAAGAAGAGCTGCCTCTGAGAGAAGGGCACTCTTGGGATCAAAGGACACCCTAACTGAAGGAACAGTTGGGGTTCCCAGATCCATTTCTGCAGGTCATCCTAGCAGAACTTGACTTAGACTCAGTCATAAAGATTCCAACTTGTACAGCCAGCCAGGGTAGGTCCATGTTCGAAGGTAAATTACTTTTTTCCCCAGATGCTATTCTAGAATTGGCCATTGTGTGAGAGCTGGAATCAAATTCTAGAACAATGAATAAGAAGCCATTGAAATGTCTAAAATCACCTTTAAAAAAAAAAAAGAAAAGAGAATAAATTATAAATTTAGTTCTCAGAGAATGGGACCCAAAGTGAAGTGTAGACAAAAGGAAGTAAAGCTTAATCTTTTTTCACATGGCATTTGAACTTCACAGCCATTGTGCCAGCAGGGTGACAACTATGTGGAGCCATGAAATCAGCTTAGAGGTGAGTGGTGGAAAGCAAGAGAATGGGGAGTTCTGGAAGTGTTTCAAGCCAAATATGACTTATGTGGTTTTTTTGTTACTTTTTTCTTTATTTTGATTTAAAAGATAAACATTTCTTCCATTGTTCCAAAGTATCTTTAACACCTACAGGTTAATAGCAATGGCTTTCTAACTTTCATTTGAAAGGTTTTTAGTTTTGCTGTTAAATTTAAGCTCTTCGGGCCACCTGCAATTAATTTCTATACACTCTAAGATTATTTGTTGTATTTTCAGTGACCAATTCCTACTAACACACATTGCATAGTTTCTACTTACTAAAGTCTGTGTTGATATCTCTTAATAAAATGTTATAGACATTTATAACATTTTATTTATAAATCAACTTTTCATTTGTCCATTTTTATGTATTGTAAATGACCACACAAAGAATTGAATTTTATTTTGGCATATTATTATAAGTCTTTAGAATATTTTTATCCCACTCTCACAGTGCTCTCTCTTGTTTCATTCCCCCATATCTGGTTCCCTTCCTCTTCCTAAAACGATACCCCCATTGCTCTCATATCATATCTATTTCATTTTATAAGCATGGATTTACTTTTAAGTCCACTTTTGTTACTTAGCATGAATAATATTAATTGAAGTATATAAAGATTATAATGTGAATAGAGGTCTTTAGTCCTTATGTACTTAAGACTTCTAGTTACCTTTTATTCTTTTTATATTATAAATATTTATGGGGTATACCATGTTTTAACACATATATGCTTTGTGAAGTCAAACTAGCTATTCTACCAATCCCCTCCTACCAAAAATAGACCTTGTTTCTCTGCAAAATTTTAGTATACAACTGTTTTGTACTATACTAAACTTAGCCTCTATAATTTTTGGTTTGTTTTATTCTTTAGAACCGATCACAACAAAGAAATTTATGCAGGATTATTTTCATGCTACATACATACAAAGTCACTTGGTTAAAAGTATCTTTTGTGTCCTTTGAGAAAAAAATCCAGTAAGAAAATAAATACTCCCAAATATGTAACATTCCTGTGACAGATTCCAGTGTTGTTCAGTAAACATTTCTTCCCCTGGAGCTGGAGAATAATCCTCAGTCTATTCTCTCTTTGGAATTAATCACACAACTTCTTTCTGCTAAAGAAATGTGAATGGATAATGTGAGTCAAAGGCTTCAAAATGCATGAATAGCTTGGATTGCTTGCTGTTTTATATCAGTTCCCACACAAACTGCTGCTCTAGAGAGGTACAAAGCATAATGGAGCCTAATCTTCGATCCAGCATCAAGTCCAAGCGGAGCACTTGAGATATCAGCCAGCCTCCACCAAGAAGAGAGGAATTTTAGCTGACCTGCTAAGTGGGAAGTGTTCAGTTTCAAGTGACAGCTGTGGGTGGAAGGGCAAATCCCCATTCATGCCTGTTTTTAAGTTTAGTTTCTTCCATGTTACTAGTTTTTAAAAGAATTTTAATAATTAAATAAATTATTAATTGTTTCTTTATTTCACATCCAGCTACAGTTTCTTCTCCATTCTCACCTTCCAGTCCCTTCCCCACCCCTCTGCAACCACTCCCCATCCACTCCTCATCCATTTCTGTTTAGAAAAGGACAGATCTCCTATGAATATCAAGAAAACATGCCATATCAAGTTGCAGTAATACTAAGCCCCTCCCTGTATACTAAGACTGGACAAAGTGACCTAGTATGAGGAATAGGATCCCCAAATCCAGTAGAAAAGTGGAGACAGACCCTATTCCTATTGTTAGGAGTTCCACAAGAGGAACAAGCTATATAACTGTCACCTAAATGCAGAGGGCCTAAGTCAGTCCCATGCAGGCTTCCTGGTTGTTGTCCTTGTGAGACCCTGTGAGTCCAGCTTAGATGATTCTGTTAGTTTTCTTGTGGTGTTTTTGACCCCTCTGACTCCTACAATCTTCTCTCCCTCTTCGGCAGGATTCCCCAATCTCCACCTAATGTTTGGTTGTGGATCTGCATCTGTTTGCATCCGTTACTGGATGAAGGTTCTCTGATGACAACTGGGCTAAGTGCCAATCTATCTGTACAGCAGAATATAGTTAGGCATCATTATATTTACTTTCCCCCCCTCTAGTCACGTTTGGTTCTATCATACGTCTCTGTGTCATCCAGCCTGTGGGTCCTGGTACTCTAGGCAGTATCAGGTGGGCTTACTCTCCTGGCATGGGTTTTAGGCTAGACTGTTCATTGGTTGGCCATTTCCCAAATCTCTAACGCACCTTTACTCCAGCACATTCTATAGGCAGGATAGAATGTAGGTTGAGGATTATATGGCTTGACTGGTTTCCTACTGCCTCCACTTGAAGTGTAGCCTGGTTACAGGCATTGGCCAGTTTAGGCTACATATCCACTATTGTTAGGAGTCTTAGCTGGGGTCAGTCTTGTAGATTCCTGAGAGATTCTCTTGTGCCATGGTTTTACCTGACCTTGAAATGCTCCCCCACTTTCCAGTAGTTTTTTTTTCAGTACTCCCCCCTACCTGATCACTCATGTTCCTATCCCTACCTGCCATCAGTTCACTCATAAAAATCTTCTATTTCCATTCTGACAGGTGTAAGATGGTATCTCAGAGTTGTTTTGATTTGTATTTCCCTGATCGCTAAGGAGATTGAGCATGACCTTACGTGTCTTTTGGCCATTTGAACTTCTGTTAAGAATTCTCTGTTCAGTTCAGTGCCCCATTTTTTAATTGGGTTAATTAGCATTTTGAAGTCTAGTTTCTTGAGTTCTTTATATATTTTTGAAGATCAGACCTTTGCCTGTTGCGGGGTTGGTGAAGATCTTCTCCCAGTCAGTAGGTTCCTTTTTTTGTCTTAATGACAGTATCCTTTGCTTTACAGAAGCTTCTCAGTTTTAGGAAGTCCCATTTATTCAATGTTGCCCTTATTGTCTGTGCTACTGGGGTCCTACGTAGGAAGTGGTCTCCTGTGCCCATGTGTTGTAGACTACTTCCCACTTTTTCTTCTATAGGTTCAACGTGTTCAGATTAATATTGGGGTCTTTAATCCATTTGGACTTGAGTTTTGTGCATGGTGATAGATATGAATCTATTTTCATTCTTCTACATGTTGACATCCAGTTATGCCAGCACCATTTGTTGAAGATGCTTTCTTTCTTCCATTGTAGACTTTTAGCTCCTTTATCGAAAATGAGGTGATCATAGGTTTGTGGGTTAATATCTGGGTCTTCTATTCTATTCCATTGGTCGACTTCTCTGTTTTTATGATAATACCAAACTGTTTTCAATACTGTACCTCTGTAATAGAGTTTGAAGTCAGGGATGGTAATGCCTCCAGAAGTTCCTTTATTGTATAAGATTGTTTGGGCTATCCTGGGTTTTTTGTTTTTCTATATAAAGCTGATTATTGTTCTCTCANATATGGTATGCATGAGATGAGAATAGTCACAAGAAAATTAAGTACTTGCTTAAATAGTTTTCAACTTACTAAGCGATGTTATTTTTACATTTTTAACTTTCTAAATTGGACATTTTATGCTCTATTTTCTTAACAAATCATGTTTTTACCTCAGTTATTCAAAATAATTGACTATAAGAAAGTTATAGTGCCCTCTTTGTATAAATTCTTACTTAAGGGAGCCATTTTAGGGTTGGCAAGAGACTTGACTCTAGAGAGGTTCCCAGTTGTCCAAGGAGATGTCCCCAGCTAGTTCCCTGAGCAGCTGAGGAGAGGGAGCCTGAAATGGCCTTATCCTATACCCATACTGATGAATATCTTGCATATCACCATAGAACCTTCATCTGGCAATGGAAAGAGACAGAGACAGAGACCCACACTGGAGCACTGGACTGAGCTCCCAAGGTCCAAATAAGGAGCAGAAGGAGGGAGAACATGAGCAAGGAAGTCAGGACCACGAGGGGTGCACCCATCCACTGAGATGGTGGGGCTGATCTAATCGGAGTTCACCAAGGCCAGCTGGATGATGGAGCATGTGATCAAATGGACTCCCTGAACATGGCTGACAAAGAGGGCTGACTGAGAAGCCAAGGACAATGGCACTGGATTTTGATCCTACTGCATGTACTGACTTTGTGGGAGCCTATTCTATTTGGATGCTCACCTTCCTAGACCTGGATGGAGTGGGGAGGACCTTGGACTTTCCACAGGGCAGGTAACCCTGACTGCTCTTTTGACTGGAGAGGGAGGGAGAAGGGAAGTGGGAAAAGGGAAATGGGAGGAGGGGAGAAGGTGAAAATTTTTAATAATAATAATAATAATAATAATAATAATAATAATAATAATAATAATAATCTTCTATTTCCCTTTTCCAGGGAGATTCTGGCATCAGCCCCCATGAACTCTCCCTGCTACCTAGACTCTCTGGGTCTGTGGATTGCAGTATTTTATAGCTAATATCCACTTATGCAGTATTTTATAGCTAGTATTCACTTATGGGTGAGAACATACCATGTTTATCGTTCTCATTCTGGGTTACCTTACTCAGGTGTAATCAGAGACTGTTTGTTTGTTTGTTTGTTTCCTGCCCACCCAGACCTTAATAATCACACAAAAACTATAGTAATTACAACACTGGCCAATGGATGGCTTAGGCATACTTCTTACATTTTAAATTAACCCATTTCTATTATTTTATGTTTTTCCATGAGGCTTGTGGTTTGTTACCTCTTGCTTCTTGGGAGGCTACATGGCATCTGTCTGACTCTGCCTTCTTTCCGGTTTAATGCGTAAAGTTTAGTTTTCCTGTCTAGCTATAGTTTGCCCTTCCATGGGCCAAAGCAGCATTTTATTAGCCAGTGATAATAAAACATATTCAGAGTGTACAGAGGGGAATACCACATCCCTCCTAGTTCCACCCATCTGTCTTCAAATTTCCTGTTGTCCTTGTTTTTGAAAGCTAAGTAATACTCCATTCTATAAATGTCCTATATTTTCCTTATCCTTTCTTTGGTTGAGGGGCACCTACGTTGTTGCCTGGTTCTGGTTACTACAAATAAAGCTGCTATAAACATAGTTGAGCCATGTTATTAGTTTTTAAATATCTAAATTATATGAAACAAAAAATAATGAACAAGGGCATTAATAAAAAGAGAAACAGAACCGGAGGATGCTGGCACATGCCTTTAATCACAGCACATGGGAGGCAGAGGCAGGCAGATCTCTGTAAATTTGAGGCCAGTGTGGTCTACACAGCAAGTTCCAGAACAGGCACCAAAGCTACACGGAGAAGCTCTGTCTAAAATCCAAAAAAAAAAAAAAAAGGAAAGAAAAGAAAGAAAGGAAAAAAGAAAGAAAGAAAGAAAGATAAAAAACAGAAACAAAACCAGTAAGTATTATATGTATATATCTATAATTTCCAAATTGGAAAATGAACAATGAAGTGTCTTCCTACTATAATATCTTTGATGGTAAATCTGTCTTTAAGTTATGAATTTGGTTCATAAAATAACTGCATTGCTTAAATAAAATGAAAGGACCATTGCTAAAAAAAGACATTTGTTATATTCATATGAGAGTGTCCTATTTGTATCGAATAATACATGGGCCATATTGAGAATGTCTTTAAAGAAGTAGGAAAAATGAAAACTAAACAAGATGGCTAAAAACATTAAAATATAATGTATATATTCAATCCATGTATAGAGCATATTTAGCATTGGGAGTAAATAAAACGATTAAATAATTAGATTAACAAGCCTTGAATGACCAGAGAATGCTTTTTGTTGACAAGTGGCAGGTCAATACAATTAAGTCAACAATCAGCCAAACTTTAGAAATTTAAGCAGACAAAAATTCCTTCCTAGAGTTTCAAATGGAGACTTTTTTGTTTGTTTGTTTTTTGAGTAGGATTTCTTTGTGAGGCTTTGGAGACTGTCTTCAAACTCACAGAGCTCTAACTCCCTCTGCCTCCTGAGTGCTGGATTAAGTGTGTGTGCCACCACAGACCCGCTCAAATGGAGACAGTTTTATAACAGTGTTATTTTTTAAAAATGTGGAGAAAACTCAGGTATCAAACCAGAAATAAAATCACAAACTTTATCTCTCTCATTAATGTAACAGAATCGAGCAGCATGTACAAGTAAGAAGCAGAGCTGTGTGGTTTAGCTTTGATACAAAATCTTACCATCTCTGAGAATTTAGAAACGTGGTTTTAGTTAATCTGAGGATGATTCCAGAATTTCTGATGCCAGTAGCTGGATTCCAAATTGACCTTTTCAATCTTCTCTTAACCTGGCTTGCAATGATGCCTTGCCTGTCAGTATACAATCCGGAGCAGCGTGCATTTTAATTGCTTCTTCTGCTCTCTAAGGATGTGAGAGAGGGAGGAATGTTTTGTGTCAGCTGGATTGTTTTTACTGAAACTAATAAGACATTTAGAAACACTCGGTGCTGTTGAAATTTCTCATTACGCCTACATTTTCCACTTATAATAGTTTTGTGTTGTGTACCTTGTAAGTAGGTAAGTGACGTAAACTCCCACAGCCTCCAACTGCCATTTTCTTATGTGCTAAGCCATGGTCTTAAAGTTTTTCTTGTTGAAAAATTTCATCATTCAGAATAGAATTTTTGATGCATCTTATAGTCTTTATAGATACCTCTTATACATTGTTTTAATAACTCTTTTAAATAGAGGCAGATACAGGCAGATCTCTGTGAGTTCAAGGCCATCCTGGTCTACAAAGCAAATTATAAGACAGGCTCCAAAACTTCAGAGAAACTCTGACTCCAAAAACCAAAATGGAAAAAAAAAAGGTACTTTAATGTACTTTTTTTTTCTTACTGAATTGTTCTCTGTTATCTGGGTATTTGAGTCATTTTCTGCCTCCTTTGGTTGCTTCTCACCATCAATCTGCACACTATTTTCTGTCCTGTAGTCTTATATTCCAAAACATTTATCTTCCTTACTCTCTTATCTTCAGTAGAAAACTTAAAGCCTGCGATCTTCCAGGCAAATACATTTTTACTTAATATTGAAAAACACAATCCATCTCTACATAGGATGATTCTTCTGTAGTCTTGAGACACAATTTAGCTTATTACTGTATTTCTCATAGCTGAGTTGCACTTTGCTCTTGTAAAGATTAGTGACAAAAAGAATGAAAAGACAATGATCCCGTGTCTTCTGAAGATGATTTCCTGCCTATTTTTAAACATTCACCAATTTAAACAAAAGCAGAGGACTAGCCAGCAGCAGTTTCGATAAATCCTTTTAGCCTCCTCAGTGCATGTCAGGTTGACACCCCAGGACAGATGTACATTCTGACTGGCCATGTTCCATGGGCAGCCATTTCTGTATTCAATGCTGTTGAGAACTGAAAGGCCTAAATTCAAGGTGGTGATGTAAAAGAAGACAGGAATGTAATTAAGGATAATAGCTCTCAGTAGTAAAGCCAATCACTTTTTTTATCACAATGTTGTTACTGCGTAAGATTTATTTTCTGCTACCACTAAAAATATAAACTTTTAAGGTGATGAATGCCTGATAGAATCCTGTAAGGAGAGGATCAGAGAATGAACTCACCTAACAAGAATGTGATTAATTTGCCTTCTGAATTTTATGATCCAGTGAACAAGTACTAGTAACTGTGGCTAAAATTCAATCTTCTCACGTGTTCTGAAACATCAGGTTCTGAGAGTACCAAGAAGCCAAAGAAGGTATCACTTGGTGTCATAAAGGCTAATGCAAGAATGGGAGGGGAGGTGAATCACCTGATCCCCAAATTCTGACATTTATTTCATTTTCTCAATACTAAAACACCTACAGTTGCTAAATATCTATTTATATTTTCAGGCTTTTTGGATTGTCAAACAAAAATTATAATTTGATGTCTATGAAGTTATAAAGTATTAATGAAAATTTTGAAAAGCTGTTTTGGGGCCGGATAGCACAGACTTGTATTCCTTGATCTTTAGGAGGCTGAAGCAGGAGGATTTTAAGTTCAAGGCCATCCTGGGAAATTTAGTGATAGTCCTTCTCAAAATGTTGAAATGATGAAAAGAACTGGGAGACAGTCCAATATTAGAAAGTCTGCTAGCAATGAGAGGCCTTAAGCTCAAATAAACTATAGCAGATAGACAGCCCATCAGTGTACCGTTTCCTCTGTGACTGTTTGCAACTCTCTGCATCTTACCCTTTTCAAAAAGATCTTAAAATACTAACATTCACAGTTTCTTTAAGTTGTATAACTATAAATTTACAGAGATAAATTCAGTTCAAGCATGCAAAACAGCTCAATGATATTGAGAGTTATTGTCCCTATATAGTTTAGAGATCTTTAGAAACAGGACTCAAAGAGGTTCAATAACTTATTAAGAGTCCTAGGGCTTTTAGTATTGGAGCTAGAATTCGAATGCAACTGCACTGCAGAATTTGTCTTTCTGACTCAAGTGCTGGCAGCTATGTACTGGAAAGCCAGGTCCCAGGGCCTATTTTAACTCCATGTTAGCCTTCTATAGGATCATCTGGGATGAACCATGCCAGCCTACCCAAAGGAAACAGGTATACCAGAAAGCTGGCTTTTATTAATGTCAGTCTATAATCAGTGACTGGAAATTCAGATATTTTATAAATATGGTATGTGAGCCAAGCAAGAGTGAGTGTTGGGTTCTTTAACAACTCACTGTACAGTAAAGCACATTTTGTTTGTTTGTGATTTAGCTGAGTCCTTGGCCAAATGGCATTCTGTGCTGCCTGGCACTCAGATTAGCCACTAGGTGGCACTGAGTCTTTGGAGCTAGTTTACGTGAGCTGAGTGCGGTCCATCAATAGATAGGCTTTTATTTTTAAAGGGTGTTAATGAGCATCTTTAACTTGTACTCTTATATAAATTTATCACAGATGTTTGTTTCTAAGACATAAACCATATTGGCCACTATTTACACTATTCTAAGCCTTCATCATCGTTGCCCACGTAGACTATCTTAAAACAGGACCCCTAGATGTACTTGACGACTTGCTTCAAGAGTGAAGTATCTCTGCAATATCTCCCCTTGGCAGAGGGGTAAGAATATGAGACTTGACTGTCTTGCTGAATATAGAATATAACTGTTCCTCAGAATACATGTATTGTTCATGAGTTTCCTTGTTAATATTTCACTGGATGGAATGATGTTCCAATGTGATTGACTTTTATTAAAGCAAGAAGAACTTTTAGAAACAAAGCCTTTTTTTTCTTGGTCAAATACATTATATAAAAGAAATTGAGAAAGAAGAGATGTTTATCAACACAAGAAGAAAATATCAAAGGTTAGAGTAAAAGCAAAGTTTAGTTTCCTGGGGAGATAAATATGTTAGTATCAAGTATCAATCAAAATGATTGTCATAATATCAATCCAACTAAAAGACTTTAAATTTACTATTTCTTAAATAATAGTAGAATACAAAGAATAAATTATAAAGAGAGTATGTATGCTACTGGTAATGACCAGATTACATTCTTAGCTTATGAGAATGTGAAATGTCACTATAGATAAAAGTGCATTTAGTTAGGCAACAAACCTACTAAGAAGCTGTTGTTTTTATTAAACAGTTCCATGATGTCTGATATAGAGCTGGTGAATTCATGATCTTATAACATAGATTAGATAACTTAAGCAGAATTTAATTATTTCTCTAATTCATCAAAGATTTTATTTATCCAGGGATATTTCACAGAATTAAATAGTTATCAGTTTACCTGAAATTAGCTTTGCTTCTTCTCAGTAGAGTCTGATGACTACTTAAGAGACAGCTACTACTAGTTTTTGAAGGGTGAATCTTAGTTGCTGTGATATTGTTGTCAAGAGACATCGTGACCAAGGCTACTCTTATAAAGAAAGATTTAATTGGGGGCTTGCTTACAGTTTTAGAGAGTTAGGCCATAGCCATCATGGTAGGAAACAAGTAGACAGGCTTGGCACTGACCAGTAGCTGAGAGCTTTACATCCTGATCTATAGGTATCAACCAGAGATGAGAGGTGGGAGAGGGAGAGAGAAATAGAGAGAAATGGGTCTTTGCATAAGTTTTTGAAAATTCAAAGCCTACTCCCAGTGGCACAACTCCAAGGCCATACCTACTCCAATAAGGTCATACCTCTTATTCTTTCAAAATAGTTCTACTAATTGGAAACCAAGCATTCAAACATTATGAACCTATGGATTGAGTTCTCACCCACCACGCTCAAAACTCTAATCTCTCTCCAATCTTCAAGTTTTCCTTTAGACATCCCTCTCCAGCTTTGGCTTACTTAGTCTATCTGCCAATCACCTCTAGAAGGGTTAATTGATACAGATAATTCTACATTTATTTTTCAAACTGATGGATGTCTAGACTTAGAATTATATAGAAAGCATATTTTTGGTAAAGCATCTCTCACTGAACCTAGAGCTACCAATTAACTTTTCAGTAAACCCAAGCAACTCTCCTAGCTCTTCCTCCTCAATGCTAGGATTATAAGCATGCACCACCATGTTCAGCTCTTTACATGAGTTCTGGGGATTCCGACTCAGATACACATGCTTGCACAGAAACACTTCAACAATTCAACCATCTCACTGGCTTCCCCTTCATTTTCTAAGTTGCTGAAATATAAAATATTATTGTTGAACTACAGCAAACCACTTGACCCGGGTGGTACATTAGCCTGTCTTGATTGGAAAGGACAATTCCTCCTTCTTGCTCCATAGTCTCTCCTTTTGCCCTAAAAGAAGAAGGCTTAATTCTGCCTTCAATCAGACCATAATCTGTCTTATTTGAATGGGAAGCCATTCTTTCTTTTAGAGTAATATAATTGGAACTACCCAATAGGCTACTGGAAAGAAAGTTAAAATTCTTTAGTGAAGATTTTTGTTTTGTTTATGTCATTTTATTGTAAGATAGGTAGTCCAAGAATGCCTGTCTCAGTTTAGAAAGAACAAGAATCTGGCTGGATATAGCTCGGCAGTCCCAGACTTAGAGTTCAGGAGGATTTTTGAAGAGCTAATAGTTTTCAGTTTATGTTGGTGTCTTGAAGATATTGAATTTAGCATTCACAATAGTAACAGGAAAGATGAACTTTCCCATAAGAGTGAAAGGCAAAAAACAAAGCACATTTATCCATATTCTATCATGGGGGCTGCCAACAAGTACGGTTCAGAAAGAGTGTGTCTTCACCAATCAAATAATCCAATTAAGAGAAAATTATATTTTAGAAGTTTTGAGCTGTTTGAGTGTTAGTTGACTCTAGATGTGGTCAAGGTGACCAGATTAGCCACCACAAAAGTCTGTAGGCATTATTTTTATCTTTTAAAAATTTAATGCATGCATACAACATATCTTGATCATATCTACCCCTGTATTTTACTTCTAACTTCTTCCAGGATCCCCACAAAATGCCAACAGATCTGCCTCGCAACTTCATGTCCTGTTTTTTTTTTTTTTTTTAATTTCTTGAGTCCAGTGTAGTGTTTCCCATATGCTCATGGACATGCGGTCATTCCTGGGAACATGGACAACATACTAGTGGCAACACTCCTAATGAAAACTGTCACCCCCTTCCTAAGCAGCAATAAACTGTCAAGCTCCTTGAAGAGATGGTGCTAAGGAGTCCACCCCACCCCATTCTAAAGATTTTAATTAGCTGAATTTTGTGCAAGTCTTATATAGGTAACCACAGTTGCTATGACTTCAATGTGCAAAACCCATGTCATATCCAGAGGACAGCATTTCACAGCACTCCTTCCCATCTCTGACTCTTGTATATTTCTGTCTCATCTTCTGAGATGAAGTCAGGGACTTGGAAAAGAGGACTGATGTGTATATCCCATCTACTCCTGGACACTAACAGTCCCTTGTTGTCAGTAACTTTATCAGTTACTAATCTCCATGTTAACCATTGCCCTCTGCATAAGAAGCTTCTCTGACCAAGCTTGAGAGAAGCACAAATCTATAGATATAAATATAAATGTAATCTTGATCTCCAGTGTGAGTCTGTAAAAAGTGTAGAAACCATTTAGTTGTAGCGTCTAGGCGGAACAGTATTGCCTGATGTAGGAGCCCACTTGTTTTTGACTGGCTGCTCAGACCTGAAATAACCACACAGAAACTGTATTAATTAAAGCACTGCTTAGCCTATTAGCTCTATCTTTTTTATTGGCTTTCTCTTACATCTTAATTTAAGCCATTTTTATTAATCATGTATTGTCACATGGCTGTGACTTACTGGCAAGGTTTTGGCTCATCTGTTTTTGGCAGCGGCTAAGTGGCATCTCCCTGACTCTGCCTTCTTTTTTTCCAGCATTTAGTTTAGATTTTTTTTTTTCTGTCTAGCTCTGTTCTTCCCTGCTATAGGCCCAAAGTAGTTTCTTTATTCATTAATGGTAATCACAGAATACAGAGGGAAATCCCACATCACCTGATGATGTGGGAAGTCCTTCTGTATATGTCTTACTTTTATTGGTTAATTTAAAAAGCTGCTTTCAGCCAATGGCTTTATAAAATATAGCCAGACTGAAAGAGATAGATATATAGAGAGGGAGTAGGCAGAGTCAAAAAGACGCTCTGTAGCCACCAGAGAGGAAAGTGCAAGCTATCAGCTGAAACCTTACTGGTAGGCTATGAGCCTCATGGTAAAACATAAAATAGTGGAAAGGGGTTAATTCTGGATGTAAGAGCTAGCTAGTAATATACTTAAGTGATTGGCCAAGCAGTGATTTAATTAATATAGTTTCTGTGTGGTTATTTCCAGTCTGGGAAGCCGGAAATGAACAAGCAGCCTCCAGCAACAATTGCCCTCAGAAAAGATTGTTTTTTCTCCTTTGTGAGATAACTAGCTCATGTGATAATGAGTTACTACAAAAGAGATACTGACCTATGAATCTTTCATTCACACAGCTCCTATTATTGTGATGCCATCCACCATGAGTTCTCAGCAGAAGTCAAAATGATGGGGTGTTGAGCTTCACTTTCACCTTCAAAGGTATGAGAAGAATGAACTATATTTTTAACAGATTTCCTAGATTTTGGTATTTTGACATTGCAATGAAAAGCAGAATATTAGAATATATTAATAAATATCATTTAATTGTTTTGATTTAATAATTATTGTTTTCCAATTATCTGTATCTCCTGCTAGCAACGAAGTTCTCAACTTGAAGTTCAAAGTGTTATTTTTGAAATTAAGAGTTCTTGAAACTCAACAGTAGTATTGAGGGAGACAAAATTAGATTATTTAGTATAAATGCTTGTTTAACTATGCAGAGAGAGTTGCTTTGAACAAGACAATTGAGACCTCATCTCTAAAAGAGCCTTGGTCCTAGTCATCAAGTGGATATAAACAAGGGGCGCAAAGAACAACTAATGGAACAAAGAATGGTGAAGACAATGCTTATGGAACTGAATTTTATGTTTTTGTTTTGACAAATTCCTAGTCTTTCAAATTCAACCTATTTAATTTATGATAAGTGTGCTTAGTGTGCTTAATGCCTACCTTTTTGTGTTTGTTCTAAAATGTGTAGACTCTGAGACTGATCATTTTCAATTGATGCATAGAATATTTTAATTGACTAACAATGTTTTTTATAAAATTCTAGCATTGTCTGGTTTAAAGATTATTGAAATTACATCTTAATTCACCAATTTCTATTGTTATTGATTTCCAGCTTTATTCCATTGTGATAAATTAGAATCAGGATTCTATTTCAATTTTCCTGTATTTTTAAAAGAATTTTTTATGTGTACTAATATGTGGTCAATTTGAGAATAAGTTCCAAGTGATGTTGAGAAGAATATATATTTTTAAGTATTTGGTAAAATGTTTTATAGATATCTGTGAGGTCCATTTTATTTATGTTATCATTTAACACAAGCTTTCTTTGTTATTTTTGTGTAAATTACCTGACTATTTGGTGAGCATTGGTCATTTAAGTCACCCACTATCGCTAATCTACAATTTTAGATCAAGTAGGATGTGTTTTGAAAATTGAATGTGAACATATTTGGCACCTATATTTTTAGAATTGTAATAGCCTCTTAATTTTTTTCCTTTAATGAATATGGCTCTTCTGACTAGTTCTAAAAGTCTATTTTGGTGAATGGGCATGTTCTTTTTATTGGGGTTTTGTTTTGTTTGAGACAGTTGGTGTGGGAGGTCCTTCTGTCTGTGTACTGCTTTTCTTGGTTAATGAATAAAGAAACTGCCTTGGTCTTTTGATAGGGCAGAACTTAGGTAAGCAGGGAAGATGGAACTGAATGCTAGGAAGAAGAAGGCAGAGTGAAAGAGATGCCATGGAGCCACCAGAATCAGACATACGTAATCTTTGCCAATAAGCCACTGCCACATGGTGACATACAGATTAATAGAAATGGATTAAATTAATATAAAAGTTAGCCAATAAGAAGCTAGTGCTAATGGGACAAGCAGCATTCTAATTAATATAGTTTCTATGTGGTTATTTTGGTTCTAGGTGGCCAGGACGAACAATCTGCTCTCTGCAACAGACAGTCATTAGGTGGCACAGGTGACCCTCAAATTTATGACTTCAGCCTGTTTCCAGAGTGTTGGTTTACAGATGTGCACTATCCTGAAAGGAGAAGGCCTGCATGGTATAGATTTAAATGATCTTGTTGTTAGAGCAAGGAGAAAGAATGGGTTTTGAGGACTATAATTTATATGTGGATTTTCAATGGCTTTTATAAACCTCGATCTCCAACTGCAGCTCACTAAAGAGACATGTTCTACCTGTGGGGACTTACCTGTGTGTATGTTCTGACCCTTGCTGTGCACTGGAGCCAACAAATCTCCACCTTGTTTTTCTTATAGCCCTGAGCCTATTCCAAAGGTCTTTTGGTACATCTATGTACCTTCCCATCCTGGTACCCATTTATGTAAAACAGGCTTTATTTTTCTCTCTGTCTATAGATACTTATCTGTTCTGGGCTGTACTAGCTTCCTCTAATTCACAAACTGGAAATTCTTAAAAATTCAACTACCATATAAATTATTTCTTTTCCCTAAAGTTGAAGGAAGACCAAAATTGCATATTAAGGAAGTTATTTATATTGTGAACTATAAGTCTTTGCCCCAACTCTCACAGGTATTTTTACTTAGTGTTGCATATGCGGGTTGCTAAGGCAACCCTACTTACTCTCTCCATCACCTTTTGACCAGATACAGATTGGGGAAAGGGGCCATAAAAATGAATTTTATGCTTAGTTATGAAATAACATTAAAATAATTTTATCATTGACTAAGAAAAACAAAATTGAAAAATGAAAACTGATGCTGGAAAGTCACAAGGGACATAAGCTGCTATTTCTCATGACTCCATAGAACATCATTTATAGCTGAATGCGTAGATGGCCCTTAACAACACAATGAATTAGCCAAACATTCTTTGGCTAAATCTATTTATACTTGTTCTTTTTCCAAGCCTGTTTTAAACCAGGTACTAAAAGCTATCAAAGTCTAAAGTTAGCCCTGGCCAGCATTGAGTGCATTTTATTGGAAAGTTCATCAAGTGTTAGACTGTCAAATAGCAAGCTGTCTGTTACAGACTGAAATTTCTAGCAGATTAGTAGAGAATCCCAGCATTACTAGTCCATATTACAATGTTTCCCTTATTAACATATGTTAAAATAACACCATTTTGTTAATATCATGTAGAGTTAGTCTATGCCCCTTGTGGGAATGCATGGGTTGGGGAAAAGTTAACTTGCACAAAGATGTCCCCTTTGCACTGATGTCCTCTGAACATCTTATGCCAGGGTTAGAACATTTTCTACCCTCAGTCTTTTCTCTGTTCCTTTTGTTTCCTTGCCTTAACAGAGGACCTGCTCTCCGCGGAAACCACTTATCAATGTCTATTTTATTTCACACATTGTTAAGATCTCACACCTAGGAAGTGGAGTGGGTGGTGTCTTTTCTTCCAGTAGCGTTGCCCAGCCATTATCTCCCTCCCTCACTGTTGTGGAAACCCATTTTACTCTGAGATCTATGCAGGTAGCATATAGAACCTACTTTCTCTTCATTACTAGCATGTAATGGCCTCTATGCCATTTCCCTTCAATTATTGATGTTTTCAGGACCTGGGTCACAGTTCCTTCAGTCACACTGTTCCTGCCTGAATTTTAAGTAATTGTTTTACATTTACACAACTGTTCTCCAATACACTGACTTTTCATCCCCTAGAAACCTTACCTTTCTTCAACACTGTGGTCATAAGCAACTGAGGAAGTTTTTAATTGGCCTTTAGCTGAGAGAGAAAACAGTCTGGTACTTGGGGAAACAAGGATGAAAACCAGTGATAGTCACTGCTCTCTACGCAAATATTATGTGATAAATGCAAAAGAACATTCCGAAAATAAAAATAATTTCAAATAACAATTGCTTTCCCTGGCTACAATTGTTTTCTTTGTATGGGTTCTAAAATATAGAAACAAGATCAAAAACTATACATAAAGTAAGTAATATACTGAACTATGAAGCATAACCTCTTTCTGTAAGGAGAAAGAAAACTAAGAGTTTTTTGATAGACCCAAATTTATTTCTTGAATTTCTCATGGAATAAAACTGTATAGACTCTGCTATCATAAAAACAAACAAACAAACAAAAAAGTATGCTCTCCTGTGAGTTCTCAAGATAGGATTCAACTCTAACCATCTATTAAGCTAAGTCAAGATAAGTAATAAAATATAAATGCAGCGTTTCCTTAGTAGTTGCAAGTTTACTGTCTCGTGTGTCTGTTCTTCCCAAGCCATGCTTGAGGTCCATGATATAGTGAACTGCACAGCTATTGAAAAGATCTGCCACACAGAGATGTGGCGATGGGATCATAAATCTGAATAGAACTGCCAGTTATGAAATTTGATTGTGCAAGTTAGTGAACAGAAGTGATCTTTTAGGGTTGAATTTGCTGAACAAATGACCAAGCCACCTCTCAAACACTGATGCCTGAGAACCAGAAAATGGGCACATTCCATCACATTCCATATTCGTGCTATTATGGAATCCAACTCCTTCCTTTCTTACTTTCACTGAAATTTTCTTCACATAAGGAAGAACTTTTATCTCTGTTCTGAACCCCAGAAACTTAGAACAGATCTCTTTCATTGTCCACAACAGGTTTATACTTCAGATTGTAGCCCTAATGATTGATTGTTTACATGTTTACATATGTACATCATGTCATGACATTAACCCTCCCTCAGTGTATGCATACACACACACACACACACACACACACACACACACCAAAATCTTCTACCACAGTAATAAAGAATGTCAAATTTTTTAATCACAACTGATGAGACCTTTTAATTGATAGGCTGCTGGCCACCTCTCCATCTTTATTTCCTAAAACTTATCATGCCTAATAAATATAAAATCCACTGGGGCAGAAAGATTTTGTTCTATTTATGGTTATAAAACTCATGAATTAAAGCAAAGTATGGAACAGGAAGCTCAAAGTATAGTTCATAGGTGAATGAATGAGTTTCTAAGTCCATCAGCTATGCTTCTTATCACTGCAATGTAGTCATGAAAAATAACCAGAATACAACACAGAAAAGCACATTTATTGTTACTGCTCATTTTCTTGAATACGTGGTTCAACCTCTTTAACACCTTGAGTACATGAATCCACTCACTCATTCTCAGTATTGTTTCTTCTTAGTGTAATTTCAATTAAAAGATTTATCAAACAAATCACTCTGCAAATGTTCACTACTTCTATTCTATTTCCAGAAATTTAAACTCTTAACCTTCTTTGTATCTGTATTTGTGCAGTAAGGTCCCAAAGGAAGCTTATCATGCTGATGTATAGCAGAGGCCATAAGATTACAGCAGGTGACAACTTGTGTTCAGATGTCAACCCATCAGAGGGATGATTCTCTGATGAAAGATAATCCTGTCCAGGCAAAGCCTACAGGATCATGGATTTGGAAATGTACTCATATCTGCTAAAGCAGTTTGGTGTCTCCCTAACACCTGCATTGTAGTGTGTAATTTCATGTGATGTGTATGTGTAATTTCATAATTATTTCTTGATCTTATGGGCACATATATCTGTGGGTGATCAGGAAGATGTTTTGTTTAGTTATATAACTTCGATACATAGAAAATATACTAGGACATGCTTCATAGCATCTATGATCTCATCTATTGTCTCATAAGATCTGTAGACCCTGCTTTGTTCCTTTTGCTCAGACTAACTGCATACAATTAGCTCACTTTTACCTTAGAGCAAGTTCAAACTAAAGGCTTTTTGTAAACAGATCATAAGTTTAAAACCTTACAGCTATGTACAAGATCAGAGTGGCCAGTATCTAACCAAGGTTACTACACAAAGGACCATAAGAAAATCATGTCAATTTTTTGCTTGCAAAGTCTGCTGACAATAGATCTATGTCTCAATGTTTGTCAATGGGCCTTATGCTCCCCCAATTCCTAATCTGTTCACAGTGTTACTTCTGTAACTTTGGAAACTTGTGTTGCCATGGCAAATGACTCAGCTACTTATCACTTACCTAGGAATGTGCTTTTGACCAATGAGAGGTAACTCTTGTAATTATTTTTATTTCCAAGCCTCCTGCAAAAGAAGAATTTTTAAGCTAGGGAGTGGAGGCTATGAGGAATTAGAATTAGGACAAAAGAATAGAGGCAAGCAATAAAGAGCCGTGACTGGAACAGCACCTGTGTGAACCTTTTCCCTCAGATTTATAGCTATCCTAAATTCTCCTTCACTATGCTGTGGCTTCTGACCCAAACTCTAGAAGATAGACTTGTAGAGCAGACCTCTCAAGCAATGGAGAGATATACTTATAAATTCATGGTCTTTGGGTTCAACTGAATTCTCACTTTCCCTGGAAACCCTGTAGTGTGTTTTAAAATAAGAGTGCTTTTTTTAAAATGCAAATCAAAATGAGATACTATCTTACCTGTGTCAGAATGACTAAGATCTGTTGGGGAATACTTTCCTGTGTGTAAGTTTTGTTTATGCTGCATTTGTTTAACTCTGTGAAGCTGTTTTACTGTGCCTGTCTAAAACACGTGATGATCCTAATAAAGAGATGAATGGCCAATAGCAAGGCAGGAGTAAGGATTGGTGGGACAGGCAAGTAGAGAGAGTATAAACAGATTGAAAACTGAGGAAGAGGAGAAAGAGCAAGTGAACAGGAGAGGAGGACATTAGGGGCCAGCCATCCAGACACCCATTCAGTCAAAGAGTAAGAAGGAAAGTAAGATATACAGAAGTAAGAAAGATAAAAGAGGGAAAATGTTGTCAGGATAATTTAAGTAAAGCTGGGAAGAAAGAAGGCAAGCTAACGCTGCATATTCATAGCTAAGTAAAAGCCTCTGTGTGTAATTTATTTGAGAACTGGATGATGGGCCCCTCAAAAAATCCAAAAGAATAAAATATCTCACAACAAAGATAAAAAATGACACCAATAACAGCTTGCCTTGGTGAGGATGTGAAGTAAGGGGAGCACTCCTCCACTGCTGGTGGGATTGCAAACTTATGCAGCCACTCTGGAAATCAGCATAGTGGTTTCTCAGAAAATTGGAAATCAGTCTACCTCAAGACCCAGTGAAATCACTCTTGGGTGTATAGTCAAAGGATGCTCAATCACAAGGTCACTTGCTCAACAATATTCACAACAGTATTGTTATAATATTAGACAGAACCTCGGAACAATCTAGGTGACCCTCAACTTAAGAATGGATAAGGAAAATGTGGTACATTTAGTCTGTTGAGTATTACTCAGCTGTAAAAAAAAAATCATCATGAATTGCAGGCAAATGGATGGAATTAGAAAAAAACCATCCTGAGTGAGGTAAACCAGACCCAGAAAGACAAACATGGTATGTACTTACTTATAAGTGGATATTAGATATAAAGCAAAGGATAACTAGACTACAATCTACAGCTCCAGGGAAGCTAGAGCTTCCTTTCAGTAACTAAAGGAATGAGATGTAGAGATCCACAACCAAGTACCGGTCCAACTCTGGGAATTCAGTCAAAGAGAAGAAGGCAGGAATACATCAACAAAGGAGATCAAGTTCATGATGAAGAAATCTACACAGACAGCTGAACTAAGCTTGTGGAAATTCATGATTCTGGGATGAAGAGCTGTGGAGCCTCCATGGGCCTGAACTAGACCTTCCATATGTGTGAGTCAGTTGTGAAGCTTGGGCTATCTGAGGGGCCCCTGGCAATAGGACCAGGATCTAAACTTGGTGCATGAGCTAGCTTGTTGGATCCTGGTGCAGGAGAATTGTCTGTATTCTGTCAATCATATTTTAAATAAATGCTGATTGGCCAGGCAGGAAATATAGGCAGGAAAACCAGACAGGAGGTAGAAATGATGTAATAAGAACAGGAAAATTCTGGAAAGGAAGAAGTTGATTCCTCCCACTCCTGCCCAGATCACTGAAGCAGCAGGATGTGATCTGCTTCACTGAAAAAGGTACTGAGCCATATGGCTAACACAGATCAGAAAAATGGCTTAATCAAGATGTGAGAGTTAGCCAGTGAGAGGCTAGAGCTAATGGGCCAATCAGCTTATAATTTATGGAGACCTCTGTGTGATTTTCTAGGGTACCGGGCAGGACAGAAACCCCAACAAGCAGGCCCCCATTCATGTTACAGGTTCCCATTTTCTATGAGGGGGTGCCATACTCAGACTTAATGCACAGAGGAGGGGCTTGGTCCTGCCCCAACTTAATGGCCAAACTGTGTGAACTCCCCATGGGAGCCCTTACCTGTTCAGAATAGTGGGTGGGGAATGGGCTGAGGGGGGAGGTGATGGGGAGCGGGGATAGGGTAGTTGGAGAACTTTGGTTGGAATATAAAATGAAATTTAGGGTGCTTTTCTATTCTAAGGGTAAATGTTCCATATATATTCCACACTGAGTCTCTGGCCCTCTTCAACACCCTTCTGCTTACATATTCAATGTGCTTCATAGACCACTGAAATATTTAAAGTGTCAGAAAGATGTGTCACTTTCTCACAACAAAATCTACAATCCTAACCTGAGTTTGGTTTCATTTTGTTACTATTATTCTTTTAAGTAATATTTTCTTACGCTCTTTGCCACCATGCCCTATCTCATCTTTCCAAAGAACCTGCTTCTTGGATTTACTTTTCATCAACCAACTTGTTTTTGCTGGGTCACTGCTATGACTATACTATAGAAACCCACTCCAATGCCCTCTCCCTCCTTATTCTCCACACAGCTTCTTTGTTTTCACATTTTTTTCTAGCTCTCCAATCATTTTGCTTCATTGTTCTTG